CGGGACGAGCGCCGCCGAGCGCATGCTGATCCCTGTCCTCCTCCTCCTCAGGCGGCGCTGGCGGCGGCCCCGGGACCCGCGGAAGCCGGCATGCTGGAGAAATTCGAGTTGGAAGAAGAAGGTGAGTGCCCCCCGCCGGAACGCGCTCCGTGTCGTCGCCGAGGGCCGGGGCGCGGGGACCGCCGGGGTTCACGCCCCGGAGGCCGTGCGGCCCCCGGCTGCCTGGCGAGCACGGCCGGGGATGCAGACGCCGAGCCGGCACAGGGGACGTCTGCAGTGGCCCGCGGGTGCCGTTCGCGGCTGGAATGCCAGCCGGGCTCGGGAGGGGAGCGGCGCAAGCCGGCCATCCGCACCGACACCGATGGGCGGCCCTTTTGTCCTTACGAGCCGAACTCGAAGGCGAGCAAGGTGTCATGCCGCCTAATTGTTGTAATGCCGCGGTACACGTAGAGGTAACCCCCAAATTCTGTTGATGGCCCCTACCTTTAAATAACACCGACTGGTTCCCTTATCTGTGTTTCCGAAAATACCGCCAGCAGGGTGTGTCTGCTGGTTAATAGGGAAAGTTAAATAGGAACACCAGAAGCGGCTTAGTGCATTGGTTTGGAGTTCAGGTGACCCTGTCACTCCCATCATTTCCGTCGCCTCTTCTCTCACTCGGTTTCTCTTTTTCCTGCCCTGTTTTCTTCTTACTTGCCTGGATCGTGTCTAGAAGCTGTTAAAATATGAAGGGGCGAGTTTGCTCTCTGGCAAAATTAGTATTTTAAAACGGAATAGATGAGCGTTCACCTGGCTCTTATTTTGAAACTGTTAAAACTGGAAGGGGATAAGCTTGTTTTTTGGCAGAATTGACATTTGAGATGGAATATGATGAGCTCAAAGTTGAAAAAGAACTTCGTACAAGACGTTTGACAATTTGAGGCGTTTATTTTGAAAGAACCCCACACTGCCTGGTGTACTTGCGTTATTTACTTGGTGACTTGTCTTTTTGCTGAGAGTATTGATGGAATAAAGCTCCTGGAACAAAGAATGTGCCCTGTGCCAACTTTACTTTAATACTTGTGTTCATTGACAGTCAGGCGATCACTTAAATAAGCATACACAGCCGAAGATGAGACTGTTAACCAGACAGTATTAGGCCAGTACCTACATTTATTTTATGTTTTACATTCCCTGCAGCATTTCACAAATACGTTAGCTGGAAGATAATGCATGCGTGGTAATTATCGTTAAAAGTCTGCATCCGTATTTATTATTAACCAGCAGTTACACGATACATTTCAGAATCTTACTGGGACTTAATTTGCATTTTATCCTACTGAAAAATAATCCAGTATCCTAAATCGAATCCACCCCGTTACTCATCAGTTCCGTGTGGCAGGTCAAATTTTGACCACTGTCCACAGGGCAATATGGTGTGTCTCCCTTTGAACTGAGACTTTGAATGTCTAAACCATGGGGGTTTTCTTTGTCCCTGAGATCAGTAACGATGAGAGTCTATTGCATTTAAACTTTCTGCAGATTCATGTGAGGGCAAGAGGAAAGTGGAGAGCAGATGTGTTAGCAAGGTGCCCGCAGTTACGGTTAAGAACACAGTCCCAGCTTCACGTCTTAGCTCCATTTCCTATTCAGCTCTGTGACTTTGGACAAGTTACTGAACTCTTCTGTGCCTTACTTTCCCTTTTTATAAAATGGAGCTAATACTGGGGTGTGTTGAGGATTAAATGAGATAATTTGTGGAGTGGTAATACAGTGTAGACCCACAGTAAGTGCTCTGGAAATGTTACTATTATATTTTAAGTGCTATTAACCACTTTACTGAATTCATGGACTTTTTAAGGCTTTTATTATTAATGAATCTTAATATAGAGATTGTTCTCAACATGGATTTGATGGGGGGGCGGTTTCTTACTTGAGATTTATTGATTTAATTATGTTGTATTTCTCAAAGCTGATACACAAGCCTTGTTTCTTTTCATTGTTTCTGCCAACATAATGAATGCGAAGTATTAAACCTAAGCATCTAAGAAAGGGATTTCCTGTTTTCTTCCATCTATTTTTATCTATATTGCTGTCATTACTTTAAAGCATGCTGAATCCCACAAATAACCCTGTCAAACTTTTCTAGATTTTTAAGGAGGCAGAATGTTAAGCACTCGCTTGGAAGCCGTTAGCAGAGCTGGAAGAAGAACCAGTGTTGGCGTGGTTGTCTAAAATGCTGCTTTGTTTCTTTTGAACTTTATATTGCTTATTCATCCATGGTATGGAAAAACTGAATATCAAGCAGAATCTTACATTTATTTGGGGGTGTGGGGGGGGGAGTCCTAACAGTTTAAGCCATTACACCTTTAAATATCCTGTGAACTGAGGTGTTAGCAGCCTACGTGATAGATAACTGTTGAATAGATCCTCATCAAATCTTTAAATTTCCTTCTTATCCAATTAATGTTGTAACGTATGTATGCCTTGCACTCTGGACACATTGCTTAGATGGAGATATATTTGCTACACACAGAAACACATGATGACTAATATTTTTGTTATCAAGTATTTTTCTGTTTCCTAATAAATTATAATTGATACTATATTTGTTAGAAACAGTTTGGGGGCACTGGTGAAGTCAGAGTCATCTTTTAAAATGTCATTTGCTTCTGGGAAGGAGGAAAAAGCTGTACCACGAATCACCATGCCTGGTCACGGTCATCTTTTGCCTGGGTTCTGACACCAGTGGCCTGCCCACTCTCTGCTGCCAGCCCTTCTCCTTATTACACTCTGACGGAGGGACCACTCCTTTACGGGAAAATCTTTACCACTGTCTCCCGTCTATATATAGGATAAGTGCGTGCTTCTCTTCGTCTGCAGCCTCACCGCCTCCTCCCAGCCATACACACCAGTGATCAGAGAGTGTTCTGTGCCAGAAATCACCAGAGATCTTTTTAAGAGGCAGATACTAATTCTGGGGGTCTGGGGGGTGAGGGGGGGACCTGAGAGTCTGCATTTCTGCCAAGCTTCCCAGTGCTGCTGCTTCATAGACCCCTCTGTGAAGAACAAGGCTCTAGAACAGGCCTCGGCAAACTTCTGCAAAGGGCCAGATGGTCTCTGTCTCTGTCACGACTCCCCAGCTTGCCCGTGCAGCAGCTAGCTAGGCAGAAAGCCACGGAAGACCAAACTCAATCCAACAGACTACACTCCAGTGAAACTTTATTTAAAAAGCAGGCCGGTGGGGCGCCTGGGTGGCTCAGTTGGTTAAGCGTCTGCCTTCGGCTCAGGTCATGATCCCGGGATTCTAGGATTGAGCCCCGCATCCGGCTCCCTGCTCGACGGGGAGCCTGGTTCTCCCTCTGCCTGCCATTCCCCCTGCCTGTGCTTGCTTTCTTTCTCTCTCTGTGAAATAAATAAAATCTTTTAAATAAATAAGTAAATTAAATTAAATACAAAGCAGGCCAGATTTGGCTCCCAGGTGTAGTTGGCCAGACCCCTGTTCTGTGTACCTCTCGTGGTCTCTGTACATTGGATGTCCCATCATATTGTGGGCAAGACCTCCTCTTCCTCTGTCTCCCTCCTGCCAATCTTACTGATGCATCACCGCTCTGCCCAGATGTTGCCCTCTCTTTGAGGCCGTCCCCCTAAATCCCTTCTGTGCGTCTTTCACAATCCGTCTTGCTGTTCCCCGTGCCTGAGATGGCTGGCGCATCGTAGGTGCTCAGCAGTGTTGGGACTCCTAGTGAGGACAGCATCTCCGTAAATGTTACTTTATGGGAGTGTTGGGAGGCCTCCATGGTTCTGCGTATGCAAAGTGATGAGAACAGTGCCTCACCCATAGCAATCACTGGATGTGTTTGCTTTTCCAGTTTTTTATTCACATGTCAATCATAGTTATGTTCGTTTTTATCAGGATTAATTGTCTTGGACTTAGTTAATGGCGGGACCAAGCACAAGTACTTCGTAGGGACCTAAACACAGCCCAGGAATGCTTTCCGAAGTAGGTAAGTGCCAGCCATTCATTCGTGATTAGTGAATCTATAATTCTGGCACCACTTCAAGAATTTAACAGCCCCTTGGAGCTATGTGTGTTATCTCCCAGCTTCCCTCTTGTCCCTTCAGCTGTCACGGACTCTTCACTGAGTTCAGGTTTTCAGTAGCTTGCTGTGGATGTCTCGTCCCACTTAGCTGGCTCTCCCGCCAGCTTCTCCCCTCTTACCTTGCCATCTGACTCTTCCCTGATCCCAGACCACCCTTGCTGTCCTGGCTGTCCTTCTTCACCCTCACAGCATTTTCCAAAGCGTAATCTTCAGAACTCACCTCCAACTCATTTTTCTAGCAAGGCTGGTCAACCGAGCCTGCGCGGATCAAAAGTATGTAAGAAACAGGGGCCACCTTTTTTAGGAGGGAAGCCATTATTTTTCAGTCAAGATTCTCAGAGTTTTAGGCCCAATTTGGTAATGAAGTAGCTGCATCCTCAGATAATCCACAGTCTCTTGGGGCTTTGCCGGCTTGTTTTGTTGCTGCTGTCGTTGTGAGTTTTCTGTCTAAAACAAGGCCTGGCACTTGGTGAACTTGAACTTTTCCTTCTAATTCAAAAATATGGCCTAAAGCAACTACCAGCCACCCTATAAAGAGAACCAAAATTTTGTGCCCACTCAAACTCATTCATTCTGAGCTGGGGAGCAAAGTGAGCAAAGCTTGGTTCTTGTCAGGGGACAGAAGATCTTAGATGTTACAGTGGTTTGTGGCTCTCCAGAGGGCCACAGTACATGAACAGATACACAGTGTATCTGTGGTATTAAAATTTCATGGGGGAGGGACAGTTAAGAGGGAAAATGTATAAGAAGAAAGTTTCAGAGGGGGATTGGACGGTGAAAAAGTTTGAGGAACACTGCTCTGACTTCAGGGAGAATTGTCTGTGTGTTTGTGGTAACTACAGAGCATCCCCGCACCCCCTTTATCACCAGCCCCTAGAGCCGCTGCTCAGTGAGGCTCAGCTGAGTCCACTTGGTCGGCGCTGGCGCTGATGTGAGGAGTGCTGACCTCTGGTGGTAGAGAGGCCCCTGTGACAGGCTTGTCCTCACCCCTCCGCCGCTCCTCCGTAATGATAAGATTATTATAGATTATTGGAAGGCT